ATATTAAAAAGTAGAGACATTACTTTCACAAAAAAAGTCTGTACAGTCATAGCTATGGCTTTTCCGGTAGTCATGTATGGGTGTGAGAGTTGGACCACAAAGAAGGCTGAGCACCAAAGAATTGATTCTTTTGAACTGTGTGTTCGAGAAGACTTTTGAGAGACCCTTGGACTGCAAGGAGATCAAACTACTCAATCCTAAAGAAAATCAGTCCTGAATATTTATTCATTGGAAGGACTGATGCTGAAGCTCCAAAACTTTGACCACCTGATGGAAAGAGCGGACTCATTAGAAAAGGCCCTGATGCCGGGAAAGATTGAAGACAGGAGGAAGAGGGGATGACAGAGGATGAGATGGTTGGATGGCATCACCAACTCAGTGGAAATGAGTCTGAGCAATCTCCAGGAGATGGTGAAGGACAGGGAAGCCTGGCATGCTGTAGTTCATGGGGTTGCAAAGAGTTGAACACGAGCGAGCAACTGAACAACACATAACCACATACCTCAGTACTTAAAACAGCAATAAATATTCATTATCTTACAATTTCTGTGGTTGCTTCTGGAACTCAGGAAGTTTATCTGCAGAGTTTGGCTCAGAGCCTTTAATAAGGTGCAATCAAGATATGATATCACTTATATGTGGAATCTAAAAAAGCCAAATTTATAGAAACAGAAATAATTTCCAGAGGCAGGATGTAGGTGGGAGGAATGGAGAGATGCTGGTCAAAGGATATAAGCTTTCAGTTAAAAGATGAGTAAATTCTGAGGATCTAGTATACCATATACTAGATCCAGTGGCTATACAAGCACACCTAATTTTACTGTGCTTTGCAGATACTGGACTTTTTTTAGAAATTAAAGATTTGGGGCAATTGTGCTTTGCACAAGTCTATCAGCACCATTTTTTCCAACAGCATTTGCTCAACTTGTGTCTCTGTCATATTTTGGTTATTTTCACAATATCTCAGACTTTTTCATTGTTACTAAGTTTCTTATGGTGACATATTTGGTGATCTCTGAAGTTACTATTGTAATTGTTTGGGGATGCCACAACCATAACCATGTAAGATGGCAAGCTTAAAAAATGTGCCAGTTACACAGGTCAACTGTCTCTTCCCTCCTCTCCACAGCCCTCCCTGTTCTCTAAGAACAACAATATTGAAACTAGGTAAATTAATAACCCTAAAATTAAGGTTACATTATTCTATTTTCAAAATGTGTGTGCAGGGGTGATGGGGAGCTACTTTGTTTAGTATAACTCCTTCACAACAGCCATTAAGTAGACTTCTAATTCTCCATCTTGAAGACATATCAAATAACAATCATAAATAATCTTGTCTTATCTTTTATTTTCTCTAGATATAAATCACCCTGTCTTTCTCCTCCTTTTCATGGCTAAATGTTTCCAACATGTTGTTTCTTTTTTTTTTTTTTTCCATTTCTCAACTTATATCTATCCATACATAACTTGAATCTGGTCTGCCCTCTTACCTCTCTCTCAAAAACTTTTTTCTGAAGTTTCCAATGGCCAATGTGTAGCTGAAAATTAATAGATAACTCAAAGCTATTTTTTTCTCAACTTCTCATAAATATTTGGCACACTTAGTCACATCTTCCTTAAATAATCTTTTTTCACCTTAGGAAATACTGTTTGCCATGATCTACTCTCTCATCCCAAATATTTTGTTTTCAAGACTACTCACAAACTCATTTTCTAAGGGGTTAGAGAGAAGGGTACAAGAAATCATCGTGAGAGCTAAAGTACATATTTTGTTTGTATTGCTGGTAGGCTCATTCTCATATGGTCACTGTATCGCCAAATGTGACCTTTTGCCAAATTATTCAGGTCAAAATCAGATGTAAAGCAGCATTAAGAAAGAATTTTGAATGGACCTATAGGATTGTCATACTGAGTGAAGTAAGTCAGACCAAGAAGCAGAAACATCATATGACATCCCTTATATGCAGAACCTAAGATGAAGTGCTACAAACAAACTTATTTATAAAGCAGAAACAGACTCAGACTTAGAGAATGAACTCACAGTTGTCAATGAGAAGGACAGGTGAAGGGATAGTTAGGGAGTTGGGGATGGACAGGTACACACTGCTATATTTAAAATGGATAACCAATAAGGACCTACTGTATAGCACAGCGAATTGTGCTCAATGTTATGTGGCAGCCTGGATGGGAGGGGATATAGAAGGAGAATGGATACAAGTATATGTATGATTTGAGTCCTTTTGCTTTCTACCTGAAACTGTCACGACATTGCTAACTGGCTATGAAAGAAAGAAAGTGAAGTAACTCAGTCGTGTCCAACTCCTTGTGAGCCCACAGACTATAGCCTACCAGGCTCCTCCGTCCATGAGATTTTCTAGGCAAGAGTACTGGAGTGGGTTGCCAGTTCCTTCTCCAGAGGATCTTCCCGACCCAGGGATTGAACCCAGGTCTCCCACACTGTAGGCAGACGCTTTACCATTTAAGCCACCAGGGAAGCTCAAATGTCCCACTCTGTGACCCCATGGACTATACAGCCCATGGAATTCACCAAGTCAGAGTACTAGAGTGGGCAGACTTTCCCTTCTCCAGGATATCTTCCAACCTAGGGATCGAACCTAGGTCTCCCTCGTTGCAGGCAGATTCTTTACCAGCTGAGCCACATGCAAAGCCTAACTAGCTATACTACAATACAGAACAAAAAGTTTTCTTTAAAAAAGAGGACTTTTGACTTTCATATATCCACATCCAACCATATACAATTGAATCTCTAACAATATGGGAGAGAATGAGCATTGCCTCCTCTCTGCCAGCAGTCAAAAATCCTTGTATACCTTAAAGTCTTCCTTCCGTGTCTGCTGCAGCATTTGCATCCATGGATTCAACCAATCAAGGATCTTGCAATAACTACTTATTGAAAAATTCGCATACAAGTGGAGAATCTGTGTTATACTTCCCTTCAGTTAAATCTGTGTTGTTAAACAGTCAGCTGTACTCCTCTTCCATTTTAATACTATGCTCTGGTTTCAGAGCTAGACTGAGAAATAGTCAACACAGAGAACAGATTGAGATTAAATTTTTTTTAATGTAGCATCAACTTTTTACTTTGTTTTGTTTTATTAATATTTCACTGTAAAGACACATCAAAGAGGTTGTTTTCCTATCTTGACTACTGTTGAATAATGTTCAAACGAACTTGGGAGTGCAGATATTTCTCTGAAATAGTCACTTTATTTCCTTTGGGTATATACCCACTAGTGAGACTGCTGGATGATCTAGTAGCTCTATTTTTAATATTTTAAGGACCCTATATATACTATTTTCCATAATGACTATGTTCGGTTACTTTTCTATCAACAGCACACAAGGATTCCCTTTTCTTGCCAGCACTTATTATCTATTGTCTTCTTATTAATCACAGTCCTAGCAGAAGTGAAATTATATCTCAGAGTCATTCTGACCTGTAATTCCCTTATGATTAGGGATGTTGAGCACCTTTTAATATGCATGTTGGTACTTTATGTCTTCTCTAGGGAAATGTATATTCAGGTCTTTGCAAACTTTTTAATTGTGTTATTTGTTTTTTACTTTTTGAGTTGCATGCATTTTTGTGTATTTTAGATAGGCACCTTTATTGAATATTTGGTTTGCAAGTATTTTCCCTCAATCTATGGTTGCTTTATCTTATTCCAAAAATTATCACCAAGATCAACGTTAAAGAGGAATATTATTCAGGCACAAAAAATGAAGAGGATCCTGAGACAATATGGATTTACTTTGGGGATATTTTGCTAAGAAACTTAACTCAGACCCAGAAAAACAAAGATATGATTTCACTTACATGTAATTAATAAATTTTAGCCTCCCCCACCAAGACCTGTATTTACTGCACTACAAACTTAATCATACACAATGAATAAATGAAATGCTACCTGTGGGTTTATTGAGCCTTCTTTGTGTCCTGCATTTGTTCTTTTGATATAAAGATTTAAGCATCTGTGCATCTAAAAAGCCTAAAGAAAATTAATATGGAAAAACCCATACAATTCAATAAGTGTTTAAAGGGCAAGGTACAAATCCACTAGAAACATTTGGTTTTACCCACTGAAATTTAAATGATGTAACTAACAGCAATAGATTAACTCTGGGAAATATATTTAAATAATGAAAACCAAATTAACATTAAATGTTCATCATTGTTCTTTTGAACAAAGTTCTCTTGAGACAAATATAATTAAACTGTGTAGTGCATGTAATCGCTACAGTCTCTAGTTAGAGTAGAAATACTGCCTAGTCTATCACCATGTTATAATGTGGAATTGTCAGAAGCCTAGAAGGACAATAAGGAAGAGAAAATGGGCCTTGTGGTTCTTGGTATGTTCTCTCATTCAAATTTCCTGTAAAATTACATTGAGGTTACAGAAAGGACATTTTGTTAGTTTTGGTTTCCATGGATTTTAGCTGTCCAGTTATGGTCCTATTACATTCAAATCAAAATGAATAAGAGTATGCATTAATAACAGTACAGATAGGTGGCTGTAAATATACTCCCTTTGAAATGATTACTTGTGGATTTAAGGCAAAATGTGGAATTCAGAAGAACAGAACATAGCACATTACATTGCACTCCTCCCTACACTTAGCTTTTATATGACTCCTTTAATTTAGAAAGCTCTCATGGATATTACTCATCTAACAGCCTGTGTGTATGATTAGAATAACAACAAGGTAAAAATGAAACATCAGATGATGCAGTTTAAGGCCATGTTTTCTCTAAATTTCTGTGAAAATCCAGAACTCAAAGTCAGGAAGAAATGCTGCATTCATTTTGCTGGGTAATCATTTCAAAACTTTTAGCAAAAGGAATACAAGTGTGCAGGTTCTCATGTCAGACCACTGAACCTAGAAAGTTCCACAGAGACCTATGCTAGGTAACTGGATTCCTTTAGGTATCACTACTACCCTCTCTGCTCTCTCCACAGATGTCTATCTCTGAGTCTATAATGAGTGGAAACCAGTCCCTCTGCACCCACTTCACATTTGTGGGATTTTCTTCTCTAGCAGAGTTGCAACCTGTGCTCTTCATTGTGTTCTTAACCATTTACATGTCTACTATGGGAGGAAATCTCATCATTGGCTTGATCTGGGGCACCCCTTCCTTGCACACTCCCATGTATTTCTTCCTGGTTAACCTCTCCTTTCTGGAGATGTGCTATATCACTAGTGTGGTGCCTCAGATGCTGGTGCACTTGCTTGCGGAGATCAAGACCATAAGCGTGGGACGCTGTGCAGCTCAGATGTATGTATTTAGCATCTTGGGACTGACAGAATGCTGCCTGCTAGCAGCCATGGCTTATGACCGCTTTGTAGCTATTTGCCATCCTCTGCATTACTCTCTCCTGATGGACCCTCGTGTGTGTTTGAAATTGGCTGTAGCATCTTGGACCACTGGGGTCGTGGTGGAATCAGCCCAGACCACATGGATCTTCACTCTCCCCTTCTGTGGAACAGGAAGAATCCAGCACTTTTTTTGTGACATCATGCCTGTAGTAAAACTGGCTCATGCTGATATCTCCCACAGTGAGATCGTGATGTCTGCTCTCTCTGTGCCTTTTATTCTTAGCCTGTCTCCTCATTCTGTGCTCCTCTCTGTGCATTATGGTGACCATCCTGAGAATCCCTTCAGCTGCTGGCAGAAGCAAAGCTTTCTCCACTTGCTCTTCTCATTCTTGGCACTGCCTTGTTCACTTACCTCCTACCGAAGGCTGCACACACTCCAGAAACAGACATGGCAACTGCACTTGATACACAGTGGTCACACCTGCTCCGAATCCAGTTATCTACACCTTGAGGAACAAGGAAGTGAAGGAAGCCTTTTGAAGCCTAACACTGAGGAATACTGTTAGACAAGTGGCATAAAGGATCGCAACCAAGAAGCACGTGGACCTCGTCTATGTCTTTACATATGTTCAAGCAGAGGACAAGTGTGGGGCTTCCCTAGTGACTCTGTGGTGAAGAGCTTGCTTGCCAACAAAGGAGACACTGGTTCGATCCCTGTTTCAGGAAGATCCCACTTTCTGCAGAGCAACTAAGCCTGACACCACAACTATTGTTGTGGAGCCACAACTACTGAGCCCACACTCAGCCCACAAATGCTGAAGCCCACGTGCCCCAGAGCCTGTGGTCTGCCACGAGAGAGGTCACTGCAATGAGGAACCCGTGCACAACTGGAGATCAAGCCCCTCTTGCTACAACTAGAGAATTGCCCATGCAACAACAAGGACTCAGCACAGCCAAAATTAAATAAATAAAATCAAAAAGAGAAATGTGCAGTAGGGTCATTAAAGCATACACCCTGTGTTCAATCAACAATATTCAATCAACAAAATTACTGAGTATCTCCTGGGCACTACTCAATTTGTCCTGACTACCATGGTAATAGGATTAAGGTTAGTGAGTTTCACACTTTTTGATGAAAGAAAATATTTCTTCAGTGGATAGTGCTAAAAATAAAAATGAAAAAATTAATATATTTTAGTGTTAAACATAGGATGCTGTCATTCAAGAGCTTAAGTGGAGTACCCTCCCATGCTTACTCACCTGTGATAAACTCTAATATGATCTATTAAATAATCATCCAAGGGAAGGTAAAGGACAGAAAAGCCTGGCAGGCTGCAGTCCATGGGGTCACAAAGAGTCTGACAGGACCGAGCAACTGAGCAAAAACAACAACAATAAATACTGATGAGTGATGTGCCCTGTAAGTCAACTCTAGGTATTTAACTTATAAATCCAGTGAAGGATTCTGATTTTTTATCCAAAACTAGCTTGCTTCTATGGTATTATCCACTCATCTTTTGGGTTTTCATACAAATGAAGGTTTAGAGAAACATATATTACATGCTACCTAGGGCAATGATGAAAGTATGATACTGTTATTCAAATTTTTTTCCTATCTATCTAGTTTTCAAATTATGGTTTTATTTGTCCCCAATTTTCCTGCTTTCCTGTGTATTGAATGTACAGTATATTACTTTGATCAAATTCCCATTCTATTCTCATAAATCATCAGGTCCTAATTTCAGGACACTAATGGTCTTAATCTCGAATGTATGTCAGTAATATGACAACTGAAAGGAATATACCTATACATTTTAAACACAGAGACTCAACATCACTGCCCAAGTAGAAGCTGAGCAAATATATTGGTATTCTGTGCCTGAAAAACATGAATGTATGTTCTCTCCTGTTCAGAAGTGAGAGTGATTATACATGGGACACTGTGATAACCATAGACAAGAGGACATTCACTGGAGCAGACTGACCAAAGGGTCACAGACACCACCTGTTCAATAGTAGAATCTCTCCCTGCCAAAGCTGACCCTTAGTTGTCTCTGAACACATAACAAACGCTTCAATGTGCATGAGTGCATGTGGACCGCACATGCGCTCACACACACAAACACAGACCAATCCAACAGCTGCCAGTCATCACACAACATCTGATCCCCTCTATTGTTTTGCCTGCATTTTAAAACACTCAGCAAAATCACTTAGAGAAGACTTGCTGTTACTATTTATTATCTAACTATTCAAAGACCCATGCTTATGCCTGAAGTAGTTTCTGGAATATTCTGAATCACCAATTCTCCTGGATTCCAGAAGAAGGCTGAATTCCCAGAAGAGCAGATGAAAGAACGCTCTTTCCCAAATGTGTGTGTGTCATTTTAGTGCTTGCGCTTCAAAGCAGCTCCTCCCATAGTTCAAACTTTCATAAAAGACTAATTTCCACACATACCACAAGAGACATATCAGTACTGAAGATTGGTTTGGAAGAATGTTAGAGACTCGAAAACAGCATCTCAAAGCATGCCCTATTGTATAATATGCAGAAGGAAAAGATGTGTTCAGAACTTTAGTTTAAGTAATAGAAAGTTGTGAATACCAATGAGATGCTTCCCAGTATATGCCTGCTTCTTGGAGACGTGCCCAGCACCACTCCCTTGTGTTAAGACTATGTGACGTCACTTCCAAGGCCCAAACCAATTTTAAGTACCAGAAATCTTCACGAATCACTATCTCCACAGACCATCAAAATGATAAAACCTGATATCACATTTTATCTCCACGGATCATCAGAATGATAACACCTGATATCACATTTATCACTGTATGCTTTTCAAGGTATAAAAGCACTTTTTAGATCATGTGATAAAGTTGATACCATATTCATTGCAACTATATGTTTTAAACACATGACATGCATGCAGTGGAGTTTGCTTTGCTTGTTTATCCATTTCAGAATAGACCAAAGTTGAAGGAAGGAGGCTCTTTAAATTCTGAAGAAGACAGCAAATGAGTCCATAGTAGTTGGGTTACTAAAAAGTTAGGAGGACTTGCCTGGTGGCTCAGATGGTAAAGATCTGCCTAAAGTGCACGAGACCAAGTCCAATCCCTCAGAGAGGAAGATCCCTTGGAGAAGGGATAGCAACCCATTCCAGTATTCTTGCCTGGAGAATTCCATGGACAGAGGAGCCTGGCAAGCTTCCGTTCATGGGGTCACAGACATAGACATGACTGAGCAACTAATACATACACACACACACACACACACACACACACACACACACACACACACACGATTTGGAACTTCCCCCAGGACCTCCATGAACCTACCTGTAAGTATGGCAGAGGGAGGAGGCTGCAAGGCCAGTAGAAACATTGCATTGGCATCCCTGATAGCTCAGTTGGTAAAGAATCCGCTTGCAATGCAGTAGACCCCAGTTCAATTCCTGGGTCAGGAAGATCCCTTGTAGAAGGGAAAGGCTATCCACTCCAGTATTCTGGCATGGAGAAGTCTATGGACTGTATAGTCCATGGGTTTACAAAGACTCGGCCTCGACTGAGTAACTTTCACTTTCACACTTTTCACTACAAAACTGTGGGCTCCAAAATAGATTTTCCTTCTATATCTCACACAATATGGGAAAGGGGGCCTATAAGCATATCAAATTATGATGAGGATGTTGAGGGTACTTCAAAGAGAATTACTGCAAAATTTTGAATGTCTGTTAAAGTAAATACTATCCGTTGGTCTACAAAGTCTACTTTCTGTCTTATGCTGGTTCTATTGACATAAAAAAAGACATGAGCAGTCACCATGCATCTGAAAAACTTAAAGAAAATTAATATGGAAAATAGCCATATAATTCAATAATTGTTTGAAGAGAAAGGTGTTAATCCATTAGAAATATTGGGTTTTACCCATTGAAATTTAAATGATGTAACTAACAGCAATAGATTGCTTCTGGGAAATGTACTCAAATAATGAAAACCAAATTTACATTGAATGTTTGCCCCTGTTTTTGAACAAATTGCTCTTGGGACAAATTAAACTGTGCAGTAGATGCAATCCCTATGGTCTCTCTCAGAGTAGAAACCCTGCCCATTCTATAACCATACTGTAATTCAGAATTGTCAGTAGTCTAGAAGACCAACAAGGAAAGGGAAGTTTGTCTTGTGGTTCTCGGTATGTCCTCCCATTCAAATTTCCTGTAAAATTATACTGAGGATATAGATAGGCCATTCTGGTGGTTTTTATTTCCATGGAGTTTAGCTGCCAATTATGATTTTATCATATTCAAATCAAAAAAGACTAACATATGTAAGAAAATGAATAAACAAATGCCTAGAAATATTCACCCTTTCAAACCCTTAATGTAAATTTAAAGGAAAACTGTGGAATTCAGAAGACCAGAACATAGCACCTTTACAATTTACTCTCTACACTTAACTTTTATGTGACTCCTTTACACTTAATGGTAAAGATTTTGCCTGCAGTGCAGAAGACCCAGGTACAATATCTGGGTGGGGAAGATCCCCTGGAGAATGGAATGGCAACCCATTCATCCTCTTACCTGGAGAATTCCATGGACAGAGGACCTTGGTGGGCTACAGTCCATGGGGTCGCAAAGAGTCCGACACAACTGAAATGGCTAATGATTTTACATTTAGAAGGCTTTCATATATATTACACACCTAACAGTCTGGTTATGTGATTAGGATAATAACAAGGTAAATACAAATATCAGAGGATGTAATTTAAAGCCATTGTTTTCTCTAAACTTTTATAAAAATCCAGAACTCAAAGTCAGGAAGGAATACTCCATCCATTATGTTGGGTGTATATATGCATGCTAAGTCGCTTCAGTATGTCTGACTCCTTGCAATCGTATGAACTGTAGCCTGCCAGGCTCGTATGTCCATGGATTTTTCCAGCCAAGAATACTGGAGTGAGTTTCCATGTCCTCCTCCAGAGGATCTTGCTAATCATTTCAAAACTTTTAGCAAAAGGAATACAAGTGTGTAGGTTCTCATGTCAGACCACGGACCCTAGAAAGTTCCACAGAGACCAACGCTAGGTGACTGGATGCCTTTAGGTGTTACTTAGACCCTCTCTGCTCTCTCCACAGATGTCTAGTTTTGAGCCTATAATGAGGGGAAACCAGTCCCTCTGCACCCACTTCACATTTGTAGCATTTTCCTCTCTAGCGGAGTTGCAACCTGTGCTCTTCATTGTGTTCTTAACCATTTACTTATTTACTACGGGAGGAAACCTTCTCATCATTGGCTTGATCTGGGGCACCCCTTCCTTGCACACTCCCATGTATTTCTTCCTGGTTAACCTCTCCTTTCTGGAGATGTGCTATATCACTAGTGTGGTGCCTCAGATGCTGGTGCACTTGCTTGTGGAGATCAAGACCATAAGCGTGGGACGCTGTGCAGCTCAGATGTATGTATTTAGCATCTTGGGACTGACAGAATGCTGCCTGCTAGCAGCCATGGCTTATGACCGCTTTGTAGCTATTTGCCATCCTCTGCATTACTCTCTCCTGATGGACCCTCGTGTGTGTTTGAAATTGGCTGTAGCATCTTGGACCACTGGGGTCGTGGTGGAGTCAGCCCAGACCACATGGATCTTCACTCTGCCCTTCTGTGGAACAGGAAGGATCCAGCACTTTTTTTGTGACATCATGCCTGTAGTGAAACTAGCTTGTGTTGATACCTCCCACAATGAGATTGTGATGTTTGCTATCTCCGTGCTCTTTATCATGACCCCCTGTCTCCTCATTCTGTGCTCCTATGTGCGCATTCTGGTGACCATCCTGAGAATCCCTTCAGCCACTGGCAGAAGCAAAGCTTTCTCCACTTGCTCTTCTCATATCCTGGTTGTTTCTCTCTTCTATGGCACTGCCTTGTTCACTTACCTCCAACCGAAGGCTGCACACTCCCCAGAAACAGACAAGGCAACTGCACTCATGTACACTGTGGTCACACCTGCTCTGAATCCAGTTATCTACACCTTGAGGAACAAGGAAGTGAAGGAAGCCTTTCAAAGAATAACACTAAGAAGCACTCACAGACAAATGACCTAAACCTGTTTATTACTAAACTATTTAGAGACCCATGTATTTGCCAGAAGTATTTTCTGGATTTTTTTCTCCTCCAATTTTCCTGGATTCCAGAATAAGGGTGATATCCTGGAAGAGAGATAAAAGAAATCTCTTTACTAAACTTGTGTGACATTTTACTCCAGTGCTTCACAGCAGCTCCTCCATAAGTAAAAGTTTAAAAGAGTCTTTTCTTCATATATTATGAGAGAAATATCAGTGCTGACTCTTGGTTTAGTAGAATGAGGAGAGGGTCCAATACAGAAACATCAAAAATGCCTTTTTAATGTATGGAAGGAAAACGGTATGAACAGATCTTGAGTTTAAGTAATAGAAAGTTGTGGACACCAATGAGATGCTTTCCCATACACGCCTGCTTCTAGGAGACATGCCCCACACAGCTCTCTCACGTCAAGCCTATTTGACGTCTCTCCCAAGGTACAACCTGCTTCTGGTTAAGTACCAGAAATCTTCAGTAGTTAGTACCTCCACGTACCTCCAAAATGATAAAAACCTGATGTCACATTTATTACTCTATGCTTTTCAGATATTAAAGCATTTTTAAATCATGTAATAAATTTAATATTATATTTGCTGCATCTATTGTTTTAAATATGTGACATGAGTGCAGTGGAGCTTCGTTTACTCATTAAGCCATTTCAGAAATGGCCAAAGCTGAAGTAACAAGGCACTTTAAGTTCTAAATAAGACAGCACATGAGTCAAAAATAATTGCATTTATTGAAAACATAGAAAATCACCCCAGGCACCTCCATGTATCCACTCGAATGTGTGGCAGACTGAGGGGGGCGAAGCAAGTTGGAAATGCTCAAGGAGATCTTCCTTCTATCTCTCACAGTAGATGGGAAGGTAGAGCTGCAAGCATACGAAATCATATTCAGGGTGGGAAGATGTTAAGAGTGCCTTAAAGAGAATTACTGTAGAAACTGGAAGGTCTGTTAAAAGGAGAAACTGGATAAAAGTCTCCACTCCAAAGCTTGCTGAGATGTAGCATCTGGGGCAGCTGAACTACTTTCATCTGAGAGGAGCTTCAGATGACTAAATGTTAAAGACAGACTTTGGTTGTATCCCCTGGAGCTTGGGTGTGGGGGGTGTGGATATAGAAACATGAATGTGAGGGCTGCTTCACATACAATTACTGCTATCCTTTGTAGTGAGGTTCACTATAGGAGTCTCTAAAAAGCAGAGTTAGAAACGAATAAAGAATACTTGAAAAGATAACCAACCTAGGTATAAATTTTCAAAATATGCTAATATCTATATAAGGAAAACTACAAAGCTTTGATGGAAGATATCGAAGAACCAGAAAAATGGAAACCTAATAGCCCTGTACATCAACAACTGAACCACGTTGTATATTACATCCTATAACTTCCTGGGCCTCACCCAGTAAGGAAATTTGCCCTTTTCCTCTCTCTCATTCCTAACTTACCAATTCACCAGACCACACAGGGTCTAGAAGCTGCTATGTATTGGCTGAGTTCTGAATTTAAAATATGATAAACTTTTTCAAATTCAAATTCACTATATTTCAATAATTTAAAAAATCTGCAAGTTATAGTAACTGACAGAGCTAGTTCAGGGAAACAAAAATGAGAATCAAAAGAGCAAAATTAAACAGTTATTGCAAAAAGTAAAGCCATTTCATAGTTGTGTTCCTAAAGAATTGAGCATTCTGTTACAAATATTTGATTTTTTTTACATGAAAACCAGTGACACACATAGCATTTTTATGGTATATGTTATACCCTGGCTTATGTAGAAATTTGAATGCGATCATCTATCATCTCATTATTTTCCAAGTATGAGAATTTAGCAAAAATATGGAGCACCCTATTAATGGCAAACTGATAATCTCCTTTATAATTAATATATTGATCTACAAATTCATAAAATATGTACACAAAACTTATTCACTTTATGTTCAGAGGTTTTCTTTCACTACTACTTTGAAAATTTCCAGTTATATTAATAAAAGAGCTTCTAATGCATACTAGAAATATTAAAGTCAAATTTTACTTCTTAGAAGATGTTTGCATTCTGAAAGCACACATAAGGAAACATCAGTATTGGAAGAAGCTGCCATTTCAAAGCAATGGAAAAACAACAGAGGAAGAACAAGTATTGGACATATTTGAAGTGGGTCTTTTTGGTAAAAGTTTATTAGCAAAAAGTCTCCTGTAAAGCTTTTGAAGACAGTTATAATTTTTTAAGCCTATTTTGTCCTGAAAAAATCATATTTAGCCATCTCCAGTAAATGATCAATACGAACACAAAGAACAACTTCTGAAGCTGGCTAATAATATGTAGTCTCTAATATAATATGGTCCAATGGCATTTAAAATATGCCTTTGTTTCATCTTAATTTCAATGCATTAACCACTGACAGCCCACAGAACCAATCTGAAATTTAAAATCAATTTGAAATTTGAAATCAAGTTTCTAGTTGATATCTCACTCAGAAATTCAAGGTATCTCAACTGGACGTGCCCAAAGCAAGCTTATGAGTGAACCTACCCTGAAAAATATGTCAAAATTTTCCATTCTATATCTTGGCACAAACTACTACACCATCCATTCTGTATGGAAGACTCTGTATGGAGTCTTAGGATTGTCCTTCTAACACAGCTCTCTTTGTCACTATATTCAATCTGTCACAAAATAATGGCAATTACACACAGGAAACATGAAAATTGTTCACTTCTCCTTATTTTTCCTGGCATAGTCCAAACTGTCATCATTTTGACATTTAATTGACCTCTCTGGTGACTCAATAGTAAAGAATCTGCCTGCCAAGATGCGGATTCATTCCCTAGGTCGGGAAGATTCCCTGGAGAAGGGCATGACAACCCACTCCAGTATTCTTGCCTGGGAAATCATGGACAGAGAAGCCTGGAAGGCTATAGTCCATGGGATTGCAAAAGAGTCAGATAACGTCTTAGCGACTAAACAACAACACATCCACTAGGAAGGACTGACCTTATTCAGTATATTCCAAACTACAGTCATGGTGATAGCTGCAAATTAAAAATTTCAGTAAACCATAACCATGTCTGAGTGTATACAGTAGGCTCATAACTTTTAGAATACAGGCTAACATGAAGAACATAGTCAAAAAAAATCCAGCTCCTTTTTGCTGTCACAGACCTCATCTATTCCATGCTCTCTCTTTTCTAATTTCAATGACTTTCTTTCAGTTTCTTGAATATCATCTCACCATGCAGACAATGCACATGTTGCTTTCTCTCCCTAGAATCTCCCTCTTCAATAACTATGTTGTTGTTGTAACTATTCTCTTCATCTAATTAATCCAAGTTCTTCAAATCTCAAATCAATAACCATTTATTTATGAAATCTTCATCTCCATAACTACATATTTTCTTCCTATTACATATTTTATGACACTGTTTAACTTTTTTTGGGTCCCAGCTTTCCTTTCCATATTTATGGTGATTCAGTTGTTCATTTTTATTTATTATTAACTCATTTGAGATATTCAAATTTATATTCCTTCTCCAAACTCCTTGATATTACCCCTACAGACCTTGTTCTTCTCAGATATTTTTATATAGTTAGACAATTACCCATTCTGAAAATGTACTATAGATCTTCATCCTGAGCTACTTCTCCTTAAAAGAGAGGGAATAATAATAATCAGATCAAATATACATTTGACACCTAATCTATGCCAGGCATTGTCCTGAGTGTTTTCGAAAGTATACCTCCCTTATACCTCATAACACTGTGATTGGGGTATTATTATTTCTATTATAAAAATGAAAAAATTGAGGCATAGAGAATTGAAGAAACTTGCTGATGATAACAGCATTTGTAAATGATAAATTCATTATCTTAAATATTATACTACTATGTATTTTAATTTATCAATTTTTTAATTGAAGTTAATTGCTTTACAGAATTTTGTTGTTTTATGTCAAACCTCAACATGAATCAGCTATAGGTATACTTATGTCCCCTCTATATATATATTTTTTCTTCAAATTACACACTTCTATTCAGTGTAACACTTAAACTTAGAGTTGCCTGAATGGTGCAGCAGTTCACTTCCTGCTTGTTGCAGACATGAAAAAAAATTATTTATAGAACATGCTCAGATTTTTCAGTCAATTGTTCATAGGACATTCCCCACGTTATCTTAAGCCAGAGGTAGCAATGGGACCTGCAGGTACACTGGCAGGGTGCATAACTTGTTCTCAGAAAAATCTAAATACTTAGGACCTGGTCCCAAATATGAACTATTTGTTGATAAAGGAAACACAGGATTTAGGAGGTTTAAACTCGAAGAATGAACTGGATAGGGTGAAAAAGTTTCTTTAGCATAAAAGGGAGTAAATGAAGAGGCAGAAGAGAAAATCTAGATATGGATTGTTAATTCAGTCATATGGTATCACCAAATCAATCGAGTCAATTTATATTTATAATTTCAAAAATTTGATAGGAAATTAGACATGTATGAAATAGTCTGTGTATTTTCGTGACAGTCCACTGACCATGGGCTCAGTTCAGTTTAGTCGTTCAGTTGTGTCCTACTCTTTGCTACCCCTTGGACTGCAGCATGCCAGGCTTCCATGTCCATCACCAACAACCGAAGCTTGCTCAAACTCATGACTATTGAGTCAGGGATGCCACCCAACCATTTCATCCTCTGTCATCCCCTTCTTCTCCCACCTTCAATCTTTCCCAGAATCAGGGTCTTTTCAAAGGAGTCAGTTCTTCGCATCAGGTGGCCAAAGTATTAGAGTTTCAGCTTCAGCATCAGTCCTCCTAGTGAACACCCAGGACTGATTTCCTTTAGGACGGACTGGTTGGATCTCCTTGCAGTCTAGGGGACTCACAAGTCTTGTCCAACACCACAGTTCAAAAGTATCAATTCTTCAGCGCTCAGCTTTCTTTAAAGTCTAACTCTCACATCTATACATGGCTACTGGAAAAACCATAGCTTCG